TTACATGTACACACACACACACACACACACACACACACACACACACACACGTACCTATACAAAGTTTCTTAAAAAGAAAATTTTAAAAATTCAGTCTATCGTGAAGTGTAAGTTCATTGTTGATGTGATTGCCTTTCAGGGCATAGATGATCAAATGGGATCCCACTAGGAATCTGTTTAGGATTCTTTTATTAAATAGATAAATGAGGCTGAATGTAGGCCAGTTATCATAGTCATACAGGCAGCACTCAATTGGTTGCTGGTATCTGATTAGGCTTTGAGTGGGTTCCAGTCACCTACGACTCTTGTACTACACTATGGGCTCTCCAACCCCTTATGCCCACTACCACAGAAAGAAGACATTCCATGCCTAAAGCTGGGGGAAGCATATAAAGTAGTATATATCTCAGCCAATGCAGCCAACACCAGTTGTCTCCATATGGAACACTCGCAGATCACATGGCATTTGTAGTATAAGGCTGAGGACCAAGGGGCTGCAAGTCTAGTGATCTGAGGAGTCTATTGGGAGTCAATGTCCAGTGTCTCTTCTGTCCCACTCTCTCCACAAACTACAAATACATAAATACACACAAGTCCCAGAGGCCTCAAAGAGATTGGGGGCGCTCACATAGGAACTTTTTGGATTAATTCACCCTGGGTTGTTAAGACTCAGAAGGCTTCCAGTCCCTGGGACCTAGGTCAGGGATTGAAAATAGCCTGAAAACCATGGCCACATATTGTATTATTTAATTGCTTTCCTCACTCCCCCTTCACGAGGACTGAACCCCTGACTTGGCTCTAATGTGAGCTTTCTCCTATGGTTTCTGCCTGAGTGTTCATGTGGGTCACAACACAGACTGTCAAAATGGAGTCAGAAGGCCCTGATTACAATCGGTGTTATGTGGAAATAAACTTCAGAAGAGAAAGTGCAAACAACCACTTAGTAGGTGGAAGACTGTTAAAATTTAATAACACAACTGTGATTAAGTAAATAAGGTGGCCATTTCTAGCTTGTGACATCTGAAGTAACGGACACTTGTAACATCTAGCACAGAACATGTGCACTTTGATGTGTCATTAGTGAGGCTGTGGCCTGGAAGGAGAGTCCTGAAAAGCAGTGTGATGATATCCATTTAAATACTGAGTTCCCACAGTCCACTAGTTCCTCATTCAGTTAACATAAGTTATACTAATAAAAAGTAGAAAGTTGCTCAGTTAAGTTTCAATAATGTATTCCAATATGGCTCACATTTTATGTTTATAAAAGCTTAACATCATACAGTATTCTATGTCATGAGAAAAGTTCTGGAAAAAGCATTTTAGCTACATAATGACCTCCCCGACATAATTCATGGTTAACAACTTATGCTATTTTCCATTGTCATCATTAACATTCTCTGCCTCAAAGAACATTTTGAAACTTCAGTCTAATACTTAATTGAATCTTAAAAAAATAGTACAAAATTGTAAGGACATTGTGGCCTCCATTTATTAAAACCAATCAAAGATTAGAATAGTGATGGGCACGGGCTAGATCATATTTCCTATATTTTAATTATTAATAGGTAAAAGCATATTATTTTTATATTAGGAAAATGTTAGATAATTTTAAAGTTAATGATTCATATGCTTGAATACAACAGTATTTTAATATTTTGAAAATGAATCATTAATTCTACTTCTTTTCCAGCAGAAAATATTTAGGAACGATCCCTCAAACTCCTTGTTTCATGTAACCAAACTGTTTCTCTTCAATAAACTGATGCCCAGTATTTAAGTTAGTTGCTAGCTGGTAAGGATTCATTTTGTCTGTTTCCCAAATTAGGATTTTTTTTTTCAATTTTTTTCGATAGTTTCTCGAGAAGACACCAGCCTTTCAGTAGCAGCAAAGATTTCTTCCCATCATGCTCTTTCTTATGCTAGGCTCTTCCGGATTGGTTTGAGAAATCCAACTAGGGAATCCCTGTTGACTTACTTTAAACAAGTGACTAGACCTTCTTGTCCCCAGCTGTGACCAGTTGGTAGTGACATGTTCTATGCTCTGTGCATCTGTAGATTACCCGAGAATGTCTCTTTCACCGGGAGAAGAGAGTGGGAATCGACCTAGTTCATGATGAAGCTGAAAAAGAACTAATGACGGTAAACATGGGGCTGGGAGGCTTTAATAATGAGAAGCCTTTTGCTGCAAGTGGGTGTTAAAGTGAAGAAATTGGAGCCACGGTGTTGTCTACAGTTATTTATAAGTAAATTGATAGAGCCTAGCAAAGGTCCATGCTCTTGGTTTTCAAAGTAATATGTGTTGACTGAGAATTTTAAAAGTAGAGGAAAAAATAAAGGTTAAGTGTTTGCAGTCCCATTGGGTGCAAATCAGTGTCAATTTTGGGATATTTCAGTCATCCTGTCAAACATGTTTAGATAGACACCACTGGATCACACAGTACCCACATGCACAAGTCTCCAAGATTGCTCTCACACTTTATTTGTGGATGAGAAAATGCCTTCATTTATTTAAAAAGGCACTGAGGTCATTTTCCTTGTCACTGCATTTTCCTGTAGGACACAGCTTTGACTATCCAATTCTCTGTGTTCACAATGTGAAGATGCCACCACTTGACACAACTCAGTCTTCCCTTATTGAATAGTTTGATAGCTTCCCTATCCCACATACTACTTGGCAGTGTGTGCGCCATCCCCAAGGAAGGCACAGACTCTGGTCCCTGTAATTTGATGCCACCATAGTGTCAAAGGGTCACAGTGCATAAACATTTGGGGAGGTTTTGGTCCACTACCAAGCTGCCACCCTAGAGCTGATGTGTCCACGCTACTCTGAAGATTCCCCCAGGCTCTCTTGAACTTTCCACCTGCTATATCTGATTTACTTCTCAATTCTCTCACCCTTCTGCACTACCCACAGTAACATCTCTGCAGCCTGTTAAGGTTTCAGCCCTCCTGTGCTTGAGGCTACTTCCAGTCTCATTCTTTGGTTAAGACATTGAATTAAACATTAGTTCTTCACCTCAAGTGTTCTGCCAAACAGCTTTTAAGTTTTTGATTAACAACAACAACAACAACAACAACAATAAGGATCACTTATGCACTGGCCAAATCCTCATCTGCTTACCCTTCCTCCAAACTCACTTCCCAGCCTGTCCTACCCCATCACCCCCCTCTTTCTACTGATGGTAGAATGGTCCTGGCTGCAGCCATTGCCTCCTTGAACCTCCCTGTCAGCCTTAGCTCTTTCTCTGAAAGCTGAGTCCTCCCAATTCCTATATAGTCTCCTACCCCAGGTTTTACTTTGATGTACACTGTCACCAGTTCTTTCCTTCTTCTGAGAAATATCCCCAACTGGATAACGCC